AGGTGCTGCTGGTCGTCAAGTCCTGAGCGTCCGGTCCCATGATTCACAACCTCTGACGCCGGAAGTCAATCTCCCGTCTATCTTTGCTGCGCCGCGTGCGTGTGTGGATGCGACCCGGCTTGCTTTTGCTCCAGTCGAGCCGCACACAGTGGCGCCGCGTCCGACTGCGCGAAACGGTACAGGCGTTTGGAGCGTTTGCGCGCACCATGTAGCCGCGCGGTCCGAAACTCGAGCCCGACTTCCGCAGCCAAAAATTCTCCGAGAATGCAGCCGCCTCACCCGAGTCTGTAACGAGGCGGCCCCATGCTGGAAGGCTGGACCTGGGGTTCAATCCATGCGATGCCTACAGAGGGTGGCTGTTTCAGCTGCACAAAGATGGCCGCCGAATTTGCATTTCTTCCTAGAACCAACCGGCTACTCGCGGACTCTGCGAGAGAATGTCAGGATGCATTGTTTGCGAGGCACAAATTTTTGGGCTGCGAGGTGGAAGAACTTCAAAGTCCGCGGAGTCCAGGATGAGCTGCTGACGACAAGGTCAGGGTCGAGTGGCAGGCGCTCTCTGTTTTCACCTCGTCTTTCGTCCGAACACGCGGGCGTGTCTGGTCGGAAAAGGCGGTCAAAATTCCGAACCCACGGCTGCAGACCTGCAGGGGGCGAGCGACGGTGCATGCCACTTTCTGCCTCCTTCAAATCAATTCTGACAGAACAGACCCTTTGTGCGTGCGTTGTGTGCATCGTTCGCCAAATGTCCGAGCTGCGAGCGCCGCGGACCTGGCAACAGATGGTTTTCGTCGTTGTTATCGATTCTCTTGTGGTTCGACATCCGAAGTGGCCTGCAGGGCCTTCGTAGGGCGGCGTGCGGCTCGGGATGTCAGCACGCTTCACTGTTCCTGTCCTCCGGCGTATGAAGGTTCGACTTTGGAGTGTCGGCCCAAGTGGAGGGTTGCACAAGAGAAGGCGGGCGGAAAACATGACGACATTTGTTGTGCAGCGAGAGGGGGCAGCAGGCAGGCGCGACGACTCGAGGCTGTCGAAGCGGTGAATTTCTGCATTTCCCGTCAAGGCAAAAAATATTCAACCGGATCGGGTTGGGTGGTGCCACAAGCGCCGCCCTGAATTGCGCTTGAGACAGGCTTTGCGTGGCGCGGTCATCATCTATGGATCAGCGACGTTTTTCTCGAAGCTTCAACTGCTGCGGTGTGACAAGCCCTCGCAACGACAGGGTCGGGGTTCGACAGAACAGTAATGCTGCTAAGCACAATGGGCAGTGCTCTCGAGGCGGACAGCTTCTCCGTGGAAACCATCCAGGCTTTCTGTGTGGCACATGGCGACTCGGATTTTAGCGACGGCGCGACTGGTGGAATTCCTCCGAGGCCATGCACGTCAGCGCGTGCATCCGTGGTTTGTTGGTGGAGTTCGTTTGCGGTTTTGCAGTCGCTTTTCTTTCGGCTTCTTGTTTTTTTTTCCCCCTTGTGGAGCGGCGGGGGTTGGGCCCTGTGTTCGGGTACACACAGACCGGCACCAGTAGGCGAGCGCGCGCGGGTAGAATGGCACGCCTTGGTGTTTGAAGATTTGCCTCTAGGAGGACTCCATATATACGTCGGGCTTACTTGTCCGTCCACGTCTCAGCTTCCGTCACGTATCCATCTCTGTCCATCCTTCCCTAGACGTTCAGCCCGCCATGTCGTCCCACCAGATGACGGAGCCCGCATCATCGGCGACGCCCTCGTTGGCACAATCTCAAGATCTCGAAAAGAAGCTTTCATCCAGCGCTGGCGATGCTGCCACCGCCGTTGGCCATGCCGACAACTCCATGTCTGAAAAGGAAGAGACCAGACCCGCTCCGAAGACTGCCGCATCCGTCGGCTTTGCACCTCAGACCGCACCCAACTACATTCCCGCCGATGGCGCCGATCCCGCAGCGACACGGCCGACGCGCACCTTCTCCCGCCGTGAGCGCAGCGAGAACCTCGACACGACACATCCCTTCGGTGGTGACTTGGAACGTGCAGAGACCGAGAACCACCTCGAGCGATTCCAGTCGCAGGCTGGCAAGGACGTCGTCATCGTCCACTGGGAGGGCGAGAACGACAGCGAGAACCCATTCACCTGGACTCGCGCCTACCGATGGTACCTCACCATGCTCGCCGGTCTGCTTGTCCTCAACTCCACCTTCACCTCGTCCGCACCTTCGGGCGTCATCCCGCAGCTCGAGGCGCAATTCGGATTCGGCCGCGAGGTGGCTGTCCTCAGTCTGTCCATCTTTGTCGCAGGATACTGTCTTGGTCCCTTGCTCTGGGGCCCTCTGTCCGAGCAGTACGGCCGTCGACCCGTGTTTATCGGCGCTATGCTTGTCTACACCTGCTTCAACATCGGATGCGCGCTCTCCAAGAACACCGGCTCCATCCTCGTCTTCCGATTCCTTGCTGGAACTTTCGCCGCCTCGCCGCTTACCAACTCGGGCGGTGTGATTGCGGATCTGTGGGACGCCAAGACCCGAGGCATTGCGCTCTCGCTCTTCTCGCTCGCTCCCTTTGCCGGTCCCGCGCTGGGACCGATCGTGTCGGGCTTCATCGCGGTCAGCGGCACGTCGTGGAGGTGGCTCTTCTGGGTCTGCACCATCTTCTCGGGCGTCTGCCTCGTGCTCGTCATCTTTACGCTGCCCGAGACGTACGCACCCATCATCCTGCTCAAGAAGGCGCGCAGGATCCGTAAGGAGACCAACGACGAGCGCTACAAGGCCCCCATCGAGCTCGTCTCGATCGAATGGAAGGATCGCCTCAACAAGACCCTCCTCAAGCCTTTCATCATGCTGGGACAAGAGCCTATGCTGCTCGTCATGACTTTCTACTTGTCTTTCGTGTATGGAGTGGTCTACCTGCTCTTCGAGGCGTTCCCTATCGTCTTCTCCGTTGGCCATGGCTTCAACGCAGGTATCTCGGGCGTCATGTTCGTCCCATTCTTCTTGGGCGGGTGTGCGGCCGTGGCGCTCTATGTCGCCTACTTCAACCCCAAGTACGCACGCCTTGCCGACAAGCTCAAGGAGGAGGGCGTGAACCGCGTGCCTCCCGAGGAGCGTCTGTACCCGATCATGCTCGCCGGACCGTGTCTGGTTATCGCCTTCTTCTGGTTCGGCTGGACCTCGTATCCGTCCATCAGCTTCTGGTCGCCCATGATGGCCGGAAGCTTGATCGGCTTCGGTGTGCTCTTCTGCTTCCTCGGCGTCTTCAACTATCTCATCGACGTATACTTGGCGAACGCTGCCTCCGCGCTCGCCGCCAATACCGTCTGCCGATCCGCAGCAGGCTTTGGTTTCCCCCTGTTCGCCACTCAGATGTTTGAGGCACTCAACCCTCGATGGGCGTCGACACTGCTTGGCTTTGTTGCGCTCGTCATGGTGCCAGTTCCGTTTCTACTCTACAAATGGGGACCCAAGATCCGGGGCATGTCCAAGCATGCGTTTTAATGTTTCCGCTTAATTTGCTGTCATGCAGCCGTGCATCGCATTCATTTCATTCAGCTGGAACCGCTCGCACTGCGTGCAGTCTGTCAAATGCATCTGTCCCGCCGAGCCAGATGAAGCCGATGCACGTGCGACGTGCCGGCTATGCGAGACCCATTTGAGCGTGCATTGGTGCAGAAAGAGGTGGCGCGATGCGAAATAAAGGCGCGGAGCACGAGTCGCTGCTGCCTGCAGTAATCTTCCATGCCGACAGTCTTCCGTCGCTCAACCGCACACATAAGGCGCAAAACAATCAGATTCCGTTCCATGAGAACAAAGGCAAGAGTCACACGAGGAGGGTGAGGAGTTCGTCGAGGAAGTAGGTGACGCCAGCGAGCAGGGCGAATGTAGTCAAGAGGACGACTGCGATGTTTTGGTTCTGCACCCAGCCGTTCTTGGGTGCCGCGTTGGTCTGTGCCCCACCCGACGCCGAGCTCTGCGGAGGTGCTGTACTCGTCGCGCTTGTTGGGCTCGTTGCGCTCGACATGCTTGTCTGCGAAGCCTGTGTCTGGGTTTGACTCGCGATCGACGTGGTTGATCCAAAGATGGTCGCGATTCCGGAGGATGGCAGAGTTTGAGCGTTGACCGAGCTCGTAGCATGCGGTTGCATCGTGGCACTCATGCAGCCCGGCTGGATGGTGAGTGGTCCAATCGCATGCGGTGCGGATTCGCTCGCCAGGATCGAACGCAGAGTGCACTGCGCTGCCGACGTGACCAACGGATCGTCACTGTAGCTCTCGACAGGCAGCGAGGGTTGCGGCTGCGAGATCGTCTGTGCCCCAACCAATGCCAGTGCCACAAGCACCAGGAGCAAGGTGGTTTGCATGCCGGACATCATCATGTGCGAAGATGGTGGTGATGGTGAGCAGGTAGAGAGGCGCAGCGATGGCGAGCGGGAGACAAGGGTCCGAACAGGGTTCGCTGCTGCGGGGTATTTGGCCGACGGTTGCTGCGCGCACCAAAACTCGGCTGCAAAAAGCTCTAAATTTGGGCCGCCGCTGCCAGCTCACCGTTGCGCTCGCAAAAGGAAAAGAAAAATGGCAAATTAAATTCCTCAAGAAGAAAGGCTCCAAAAAGACGCAGATCAACCGGCTTCCGCTGGAAACAAAGTCGACGTGGGGTAGTTGGGTGCAGGGTCCACCCCCGCTCCAACCACCTTGCCACACCGTCCTCTTCATCCCACCCACCATCGCCGTTCCCAGCTTACCCCTGCAACCATGGAGCACTGCATCGGCCTTATTATCGAGCCTCTTATCGGCTTGGCCACGATGTGTGCCGAAGTGGCGGGCATCTGTGTCGATGGCTGCCTGCAGACCTGTCGCGAGTCGTGCCGGTGCATCGCCTGTCCCTGCTCGGCGTGTGCGCGCGACTACGATGCGAGCGGCGAAGAGGCCCAACCCATCCTCACGCGCTCTCAGCCCGCACCGACGCAGCAGCCAGCTTGGTCGTCTGTTCAAACGCTGCGCGACCAACAACACGGTTAGAATGTGCATTCGAATCAGTGGGTGTTGGCCGAAAGCCGCGCGACGAGGCGCTCAAGAAGACGTTGGAGCTCGTCGCTATACAGTCCGGCTTCCTTGGTTTGCGATGCAGGGCTGTCGGTAAGCTGCGTCAGCCGTGCACGCGCTATGCCTTGGATACGAGCGCATCGCTGCGTGCCGAGAACCTCGAGCCGTCGGCTTTCGTCCGCCCCGACGAGTGAGAGCAGGGCGTGCGCGGCGCTCACCCGGATCTTGAAGACTTTGGTGTCGAGAGAGAGGCACAGCAGCTCGGTGACCCGATCCAGCTTCTCGCCCGACGCGAGCACACGCAGCACGGTGGCGTCCGAGGAAAGCGCACGGCTGAGCGCCGACGCGGCGTTCCAGCGCGACTTGGGCGGCTTCCCGCCCGCTCCCAGCACGCGGCACAGCTGGTCGACCAACTCGCCTGCTATCCGATCGTTCTCGCCCGCGGTGGCCGGCAGCATGGCAAGAAGACTGCCCGAGGCGCGGCACGCAGAGACAGCAACACCCTCCATGTCTCGCCCCGCAGCCACACAGTACCGCGCCAGATCCGCCCACTGGCTATCCGCAACGCCAGTGCCACCGCGCAGACGCGCCTCGACCGAGTTGGCAAGCGCCCAGCTGGCACGTTGCCGCACCAGGCCCGATGTGTCGTACAGTAGCCCCCGCTCGCTTCCTCCTTCGCCCCACAGCACGTTGTGCAGCACCTGCGCGACTTGCGCCATATCCACATCGCCAGCGTTGGAGGCGTCGGGCGGGAGGATGACGACGCCGAGCATGCGCACTGCGGCGGCGCGAACCGCCTCGTCCGGATCGCGCGAGCATGTATGCACGTACGATAGAATGCCATCGGCCGTATCCACATCCAGTGCCGTGTGACGTGAGAGTGTACGCAAGAGGTCAGCCGCACTCGCGAGCAGGCTGCATTGCTGATCCCCCGATCGCGACGTCGAGCTGATGCGCTGCCAGACGACGACGAGGCGCGAGCATGTCGCACCAGTCAAGACCGGCGAGGCAGTCTCGGCCAGACGCTTGACGAGCGCCGTCCACATGGCCAGATTTGGCTCGGCGGTTTGATCGAGCGCGTCCAGCGCACGTTCGGCCAGCGCGGTGGTGAGTGCCTCGCTCTGGCCGAGCAGCATCGTCATGTCGAGCGATGAGGATTTGGCACTATCCTCGGCAATCTCATCTGCAGAAGCAGCGACACCGGATGGGCGCCTGATCGCACTTGCCCCCGGGGCAGCATCTTGAGTTGCAGCAAGGGATGCCACCAGCCGCTTTGCCGCCGTCTGCACATCCGGATCGCTGTGCGCCACAAAGGCTGCAGCAGGCTCAGCAAGCACCGCCGCATTCTTGACCACGAGTCGAGCTCGGGCCGTGCTGGTCACGAATGTTCGTGCGAGCCGCAACAGCGCCGTGAGAAGCGCTGTTGGGTACAATGACCCGGCGCCGTCTGCCTGGCCCTCCACACGGGCGGGAGTGCGAGGTGCGATAGCAGCGCGCTGAAGCGCCAGCACCACATACGACCGAACGTTGACGATCCAGCCCGCGAGCTGCGACGAGAGCGACGTGAATGTCAGCGCGCGCTGTGCACGTTCCTGGGCCATGGAGAGCTGCCGCGTGCCATGCGTCAGCACGCTCTCCAACGCCGACACTGCCGCAAGCCGCACCGACGTCGACGGATCTTCAAGGATCAAGCTGCATAGCGAAAACGCCATCGAGCTGCCGACACCACTTCGTCGAGACACCACGCCACCGCTCACAGCGCGTGAGGCCGCGACAGGCTGTGCGAGCTGGTCTGGTAGCAGGTCGGTCCAGCGTGCGACGATTGCATTCGCATGGCGCCGATTCAGCTCCACCAGGCAGTGCAGCGCGTTCTGACGGATGAGCCTGCACGTGGCGTCGTGTTGGCGTGACTCGTCCTTGCGCGACCGCGAGGCACTGCGCGAGCTGGCGACGGAGAAGTCGCTGCGCTCGCTCTCGCTTTTATCGCTGCGCCGGTCCGCCTCACCCGACGAGGAGGCATTGAAGCGGTCCGTCTCGCCGTCTGTCTCTGCGGCCGATGTATGACCGCCCCTGGCGCGGGACAGAGGCTGTCTGGACGGTTCCATCCAGGAAAGCGCGCCTGACCGGAGCCCTGAAGAAGCGCGCAATCCAGGCTCGTTCGACGGCCCAGCTTGCGACAGCCCAGCATACAGGCACGGGACCACTACATCGAGCAGACCTCCCAGTCCGGACAGAAGACTGTTCGTGTCCGACGCGCGCGCGGCGGATTTGTCGGTAGGTGCGATGCGCAAGAGGCTGTGAATAGCCTTGAGGGCCGCGGCTGCAGCCCGCAGTGACGATGTAGAGATGGTCGAAACATCGATGCGAGGTCGACTTCGAAGAGTGCCCATCGATCTGCCGCTCTGAATTTTCAGTGTGCTTTTCAGTAGCGCCTCGATCGCGGCCATGAGCTCATCGCTCGTCGCTTGTGAGATGTGTGGCGTCTCGACCTTGTCAACGCCTGATGAGATTGTCTGGAGTGCTACGCGACGTACGTCGTTAGGTCCGTCCTGAATTGCCCTGACGAGTAAAGAAATAGATGCTCCGTCGTTGTCGAATGTGGTGGAGATGATGGGGGCGACAATTGGGTCCAAGGCGAGTCGAAGAGCTTCGAGCGAGGTGCGTCGCTCGTCGGAGGACAGGCGGGACTCGCGCAGCTTGTCCAGCAACGCTTCCGCCCCTTGTGATGCATGTGTAGCCTCCATCTGAGATAGACAGCCGCTACGAGAGCTCGTCGTGGATCATGATGGGTAGCGAGTGCCCGCAAGAGTTGGTGGAAGGAAGAGGGGGAATTCAGGGTCCAGAGTGTGTTGTTCGCATCAAACTTCGGGAGTCGGTCAGAAAGGAGGCAGCGCGCCCACTCCACTTTTCCTCCGCTCGAGAGCCTCGACATGGTACCGGTGATCCTCCATCGACTGTGCTTCGCCATGCAGCTGGCCCGCTCTGCTCTACTGCGCATCATCAGAGCACCTGCCCAGCCTCTCACCACGTCATCTCGGTGGATCAGCTCAACCTCGCGCACCATGTCAAGTCCACCGCTGCAGACGCAGAAGTGTGAGCCGTGCACGGCCTCGCTTCCGGCCATGTCGGCAGACGAGGCCAAGCAACTGCTCTCTTCACTGTCTGGCAAGTGGTCGCTCTCGCCGCAGCCCAAGACGCTGCTCTCATCCAAGCTGGTGCATCCGGATGCGCTGCATCGCACGTACAAGTTCAAGGACTACACCTCGGCCCAAGCCTTTGCCAATCAGATCGGCGCGCTCGCTGAAGCTGAAGGACACCATCCTGCCGTCATGGTCGAATGGGGCAGAGTTACTGTGTGGTGGTGGAGCCACGCTATCAGTGGAGTAAGTGAAGGCGTTCCGTGTCAAGTGGGTAGATATCGGACAGAACTGACAAACTTCGAGGATGATCTTCCTTCACAGCTGCATAAAAACGACTTTGTCATGGCGGCCAAGACCGAGGAGCTTGTTCACAAGGCAGAAGGATACACGCCACCCAAGCCCAAGGCGTAGCACCTCGACCTGTCGCAATGTCAAAAGATCACAGTCACAGAACAGGCTGCGGACTTGTTTGTTTCGCCAACGTTGGGCCATTCCGCCAATGATGGATGAAAGAGCATCGTACAAATGAGTCGAGGTGACCTGGCGAGCCGAAATTAGCTTAGGTCGAGGTCCTTGACGTGCGCTTTCCAAACGTTGCGAGACCATCGCACGAGCCACGGACTCTGATCGAGAGCGAGCTTGAGCTTGCGCAGCGGCTCGCTAGCGCCGTCGCCCTGGCACTGTGGTGTCGCTGCCAACGTGAGCACGGTGTGGACGATGCTGAAAGCCAATGCGTCGAGCGATGTCGGTCTCGACGCGCCCAGCAGCGGTTGCATCTCCTTGGACTCTTGCACGAGCTGTGCCTTTGTGCGTGCCGCAAGTGCCTGCAAGCCTGCAACAGCGTCGGAGACCACCTTGCCCTGATCCACCTCCGGGCTGGCAAATGCAGCACCGGGTGTGTCTCCGCCGCCGCGCGAGTCGAGGTCGGCGGCGGCCAGCGCGGATGTGGCCGAAGCCGTGGTGGCACCGATCCAGCCGAGGAAGCCCACCTCCCAGCCTGGCAGGCTCGTCGTCGGTTGCGACGCGGAAGCAGCAACTGCAGCTGACGGGTTGAGCGCCGAGATGCGCCGCAATTGCTGGTCGAAGAATGAATTTTGAAGATGTGTAGAGAGCAGAGACGAGAGATACGGCTGAGAGCCAGCACGAGCGTAGGCAGAAGATTGAGGCGAAAGTAGCACAGCCAGGAGGACCCCCGCCATGACCCTGCCTTGCAGCAGATTTTCCCACGTCCTCGCCTCAAGACGAGTCGCATCGTCGGTCCAAGCGTTTGCAGACTTTTCACCGAGCTCCGGACGGGATAGCGGATAGTAGTTGTCGAGATGGTGGGCAAAGTCGACGGCAGGAAGCAAGGCAGTCGGCACGCTGCTTGCTGTCGAATTGCTGGGCGAGCGATGCGAAGGCGGCAGATGGAGGAAGGGCATCGACTTGGCTGGCCCCCAGTTGTGAGAAGGATCGATGAACCTCACATCGACATCGGCTTGTCGGAATACAAACTCCATCTGCCAGCGAAGCGCGATGGGGTCGCTGCTGGACCAGCCGCTAGTTTGCTGATCCAACGTCTTTTCGTCGCCAATGAAACCGGGATGGGATGACGAATCGTCGTCGGATGTGGCCGAGAGAGTGCCGTCTCTATTGAGGTGAGGCGCAACGTAGAGCGTTGGCTTGGTCGGAGTAGCCGGCACTGAGGGCGAGTATACCTTTGCGAGAGGGAAGGTGTGAAGAGGGAATGTGGCGAACACCGAGGCGACCCACTGCGGAATGAGCGGGTAGGCATGCGACGAGACCCTCGAGCGTCGCGGCGCCGGTGGGATCTCCTCGAGCTCCGGATAAGCCTGCGTTGTTGTCATGCTGAGATGCGGTGCGAGGCTCTTATCGATGTGACGGATTGACGGGGTGATTCGACATGTGATGATGATGGTGGTGGGCGTGAGAGAGCGTCGTCACGTCGGCATGCTCCCGAAGATGAAGCGAGAGCGCCAACGAGGCGAGAAACGGCACAAAAAGCTTCGCTGCCTCCACCTTCGACCGCTCGGGCGCCGGCTTCTTCGGTGTCGAGCCGCTCAAAGCAGACACGCGCGGTCGAAGCGCTCTCCCCGGCGCGAGCTGAGCCGAATTCACTCATCCAGCAAAGAGAGAGGGCAGCCCGCTCGAGACCCTCACCCACGCGGGCCGTCTCGCCTCGCAACTCTAATTTCGACAGAGGCAGGCTGAGGCGAGAAAAAGGACCCTGACTGGCGCGCCTCCACCGAGCTGCATCGCTCGCTTTGCCAATCTGCGAATTGACCTGACCTTACCGCAGCCACCACCACGCTCTCGGCTGCCTTCCGATCCATCACAGCTTCACGTTCCCCTGCCCTGCCCTGCCGCCCTCAGCACCATCGCAAGCGGCACATCCGGCTTCGATACCACAGCAGAGCATATCTTTCTCCAGCCTGCCATCCGAAGAGAGATGGCTGCGTTGGGACGCGGAGCAAACATCAATGACTTGCCCACCGAAATCTTACGCGAGATCGTCGGCTTAGTCTGGCTCGACTCGATCCCCAAATCGTCGTTCCGCAACATCGACCCGCACGGCCTCCCATCCTCCTACCCTGACGGCCGAAAGATCTCTTCCACCCAGAATGACACGCGCAAGACGCTCTACAATCTCTGCCTCGTCAACAAGGCCTTCTACCACGAGGCCAGGGTGCTGCTGTTTCGTCGCATCCAAATCACCCTCCCGCACAGCTTCAACCTGCTACTGAGGACACTCGGCGCCTCGCATCTGGCTAGCGCCTACGAAAAGTATGCGTCGACCGGCAGCGTCAATGTCGATCCGTCCGACCCGGCCTCGTTCGTCAACATGGTCGCCGCCGCAGGATTCGCACATGCGCTCGGGCACAAGCTTGTGATCGGTGGAACGGCCAACCCCACTCCTCCGGCCAGCCGCACTCAGAGTCCTGCACCGGCAAAGACGGGTGCCACCATGGAGCGCGCCGACTCGCTCACGCGCGGTCGATCACGCCGCGACTTGATCCGCATCAATGCAGACGAGGATGGCGAGGTCGAGCTGGTCTGGACCGAGGACGCCACATCGACACCCGAGAGTCCCGTGTACCACGTGACGCTCCGCGAGGAGGGCGACGAGGAGGCCGCCGAGCTCCATCGCTGGGTGCGTCTGGTCGACTTTTCCAACTTTCGCACCCAGGGCTTGCGGCGCACCATCGGCGAAGGCATGGAACGCCGGTTCGTCACGCCAGCGCGTCTTCTAGCGCTCGTCACCGCCGCAGAAGGCCTGGTCGCTTTTGGTGCCAGCGAGACCATGGACTCTGCGCTGTCCAACGACGTGCTTGAGGCACTCCTCTTCCGCGACGGCGAGTACAGCAAGCCGAGCCGTCTGCGTGGCGTGTCGGTGGAGCGCAGCAGTGGCCGCTCTAACAAGATGCTGCAGAGCCTCGACCTGTGCGAATGCGTGTCGCCGCGCTTCGAGGAGGCGATGAAGGAGTTTGTCTCCACCCATCTCAAGAAGTTCAGCGGACGCATGACCGACACGGTGGAGGAAGAGACCGAGTCGGACGACGACGACGCGGCCATGGATGTCGACAATGAGGAAGAGGAGCGTGGCAGAGGGCGCAGCACACGCGACCGGCGTCAGAGCAAGAGCCTCAGTCGATCCGTGTCAACGCGTCGGCGCGACGGCGATGGACCCAGCCGCCATCCAGCACGGCCCACAGCGTTCCCCTCGCTCAATCGGCTGGGACTGTCCGGTGTCACGCTGGACAATGCGCTGCTGAATCCGTTTGTGCTCGCCTTCCCGCGCCTGACGCATCTGGACCTCTCGCGGACCAAGACGGACGCAGCGCTGCTCACTGCGCTTAGCAGCTCGCACCAGCTGCAGCTCGAGAGTCTCTCTCTGGCGTTCTGCAAGCGCATCACGTCCGAGTCGGTCACCGAGCTGCTGGTGGATGCACCGTGCACGCAGGGACTGGTGGAGCTCTCGCTCGCCGGAACGCTCATCTTCCCCACGCCCATCGACGCCGAGGATCTCAAGGTGATCCTCACGCAGGCGCCGTGCTTCCGCTCGGGCAAGCTGCGGTACGTGGATCTGGGCGGGTGCGATCTGACCGACGAGCTGCTCGGCCTCATCGGGCCACAGCCGTCGTTGCTGGATTTGGGCCTGTCGCACTGTCCCAACATCCGTCTCGAGGCGGTGAGCAAGCTGCTGCGCGAGCGCGCGCCCAACGTGCAGGTGCTCGAGCTGTCGGACTCGTGCACCTCGCGCACCTCCACCGAGGGCCTCACCACCGCCATACCCGGATACGACAGTCACGACGCCACGGCGATCAACGCGGTGCATCTGCAGAGCATCCTGGTCGGGCCGTGCGCCAAGACGCCGCCTGTGCCCATCTCGGTGCAGCTCGCCATGATGGGCTTCAAGTCCGGCTCGGAGCTCCCGCAGCTGCCGCCGGCTGCGCGCGCGCCGACGAATCTGAGGGTCATCGGGCTCAACCAGGCGAGTCTCAAGAGTGTCCGCGGCGGGTTTGGCAGCTGGAGGGTCATCAGGGGCGCGGGCAGGAGGGGGTGGGTGGTGGATGTGGCCGCAGGACCGAATCCCGAGGCGAGCGACGAGGTGCTGCTGGAGAACCCGCCCGAAGCGCCGGTGTCGGAGGCGACCGTGGCCATGGCACGTGAGGCATCGGCCGAGCGCGGATTGAGGCGTGGCCGATCGGTGCGGTACGACGAGGGCTCTTTGGGGCGAAGCGACGAGGGCGATAGGTCGTCGCGGTCTCTGCTACGTGTGCCGCCAGCCCCAGGCTCGCCGAGTGCGAGGCCGACGATCCCATCGATCCGGCGCGCGCACTCGGTGGGTGGCGGATCGGGCTCACGCTCGCGATCGCGCCACATTCTCGCCGCCTCGCACGCTCTGCCGTCGGACGTCAAGCTGACGCCGCGCGACGAGGTGGTGCGCGATCTGGCGCCCGACCATCCGCGCCGCGTGGCGCTGCAGCGGCTCGTCGACGCCAACGGCCACGTGACGGGCGACATTGGCTGGCACAGCCGCAAGATGGAGGTGCTGCTCGGATTCGGCTTCCTCGGCCGCGACACGGGCCTCTACGCCCTGCCCTCTTTCCAAGTGTAGTTTTGCTCACGCCACCAACGCGCATTGATACCCTTGTGCCATTTTACGAAAGTCTAGGGGGATAGGTGGGAGGGGAGACGCAGCGCGAGACGCACGAGGTCGAGCGCGCCTTCGGTGAGCTGGTTGTGTCCGCCAAAGTGCGTCTCGATGAGCGTGACGGTGGCGTCGTCGGCGGTGGAGCTGGGTTGGAAGCGCTGGATGTGTGCGAAGCCCGGCATGTCTCTCGACTGCACTGCCGGCTTTTTGGCTGCGCCGTGGAGGGCACCGAATAGGCGGTGGGAGTGCGAGGCGGGGATGACGGGATCGTCGCGTGCGTGCAGCAACACCACCCGTCCTGTGTGCGGGGCCGAGATGAAGCGCGGCAGGGTAGCGAGAGTGTCGAGCCGTGTCTGCATGCAGCGATCCAAGATGCCTGTTACAGCCAGAGTCAGCACCACGCAGCATGGATATTCTCACTAGAAGCGGGAGGAGAGACTCACTTTCATGGAAAGGGATAGCCTTGACAGGAGCTAGGAGTGGGAGGACGCCGCCGAGGCGGAAATCGCTCACCAACGATCGAAGGTTGGCGTACGGCGCCATGAGTACCACCCCGACCTCGTCGTGCTCGGCGAGCTGTGTCGCGAGGATGGCTGCAATGCCCGTGCCCAGACTCTGTCCGAAGAGCGTGACGCGCTGATTAGACCATCCCTGCTGCTGCTTCATCCACCTGTAGGCGGCGTGTGCGTCCTCGACCACACCGGCTTCCGAGGGGCTACCTGAGCTGTCGCCGAAGCCGCGATAGTCGATAGCTACGACGTTGACGTCCATCCTGCTTGTGAGTGCGCTGTACGCCGCAATGCGCCACGGCGCTGCGCGGTGCATCGCATTTCCATGCAGATACAACACTGTCGGGTACTCGCGCATGGCCGTCTCGTACAGGCTGTCGTCAAACTGACCCGCCTCCATCTTCTCGTCGCGTGCGACGAGCGATTGGTAGGCGATTTCGGGCAGCACATGCCATACGCCGATCTTCTCGCCATCGCGCGTGTCCAGATGCAGCACACGCGTCTTGCCCGGTGCAAGACCGTACTTGTGCGGCTGTGAGAAAGATGGAAAGAAGGGGAACTGGACGGCGTGCAGGAAGATAAAGTGCCGCTGGAGCGTGGGCGTCAGCAGCGCAATGAAGAACGTCGTGTACACGGCGAGCAGGCCCAAAGGCAGGTAGAGGGAGCACCGCAGCAGGTCGGATGAGCCTGGAGCGACCATGGCGCGTGAAGGCGTCATCATGTCGATGCAAGCCAGATAGGTACACAGGACATTGTGGGAGAGAGGCACGGACAAGACAGGGCGGAAGATCGAAGCGCACACGGTCGTGTCCACGTTCCACACCTCCGCTGAAAAAGTGCCGTGTGGAGGCATTCGTCCGACGCCCCACACTCCGAGTTCCGAGCGCCTACTTGCCGCTTTGCTCTTCGCACCTCGCACACCTCACATGCACATGCATTTGTGACAGAAGACCATGCTTGTTATTGACCTGACTTGGGTGTTTATACTACAGCTTCGCCTGAGCCTGTTTCGCAGCGCGCTTTGCGCGGATCTCCCGCTGCGCCAGCACCGCCCTGCCTGCGCTGCTCGCGTTCGTCCTGCCAATCTGGTCGTTGATCCACGCACCGACGTCGACGAGCTTGTTCAGATCCGCGCCCGTTTCGTAACCCTCGTTGTGGAGCGCAAATACGACGCTTTCCGTGTCGATGTTGCCTGTCGCGCCGGGCGAGTACGGGCAGCCACCGAGGCCGCCGACTGCCGAGTCCACTGTACGCACGCCAAGCCTGACCATATGGAGTACATTCGCGAGCCCGGTGTTCATCGTATCGTGGCAGTGCGCGGCAAAGTACTCTGGACCCTGCCCGCTCTGGCGCACCGAGGCGTTGAGGACGGCTTCCATCACGGACGGCGTGCCTGCACCGATGGTGTCGCCGAGCGACACTTCGTAGCAGCCCATCTCGTGCAGCGCTTTCGAGACGCGGCCCACCGCCTCGGCGTCCACCTTGCCCTCATACGGGCAGCCAGCAACTACGCTGACGTAGCCTCGCACTTTGAGCCCCGCGGCCTTGGCCTTGGACGTGACTTCGTGCAGCCGGTCTAGCGACTCTGCGATCGAGCAGTTGGTGTTGGCCTTGCAGAACGATTCGGACGCCGCAGTGAAGATCGCAATCTCGTCCGTAGGCGGCTTTCCCTTGGAACCGTCGGCGTAGTTGGCAAGCAGCTTCTGAAGACCCTCGAGGCCACGCATGTTGGGCACCAGCACGGGATACGAGATGGACGCGTGCACGGGCATCTGCGTGACAACCTGCGGCGTGTCGCCCATCTGCGGCACCCACTTGGGCGATACGAACGATCCAGCCTCGATCACCGGTACGCCCGTATCGGCAAGCCTGCGGATGAGCTCCACCTTGGTCTCGGTGGGCACGATCGTCTTTTCGTTCTGCAGTCCATCGCGCGGCGACACCTCGACGATCTTGACAAAGTTGCCGTTCGAGGCCGCAGTGGCCAAGCTGCGCGTGGCACTGCGTGCGGTGGTTATCGCGCTGGTGCGGAGAAGTGGTTGCAGCATGGCTGACGGTGAGGAGATGGAAGAAGTGAGGATGTGAGATGAAGCCATAGAAGAGCCGTCTTTGGTGCGGGTGTGCCGATTCAAAAAGCGGAGAGCCTCAAAGTGCGGGGCATCGCATTTCGACCGTCCGGCAATTTCGTCGGGCTGCCCACAAAGTCCGATGCGCGTTTAAGCCAACCAGCGTCCCCACAGCCGACACAGCCGACTGGACCGAAATATGCCCCACCCTCACTCAACCTGCAATGCCAGTGGCCACTTCATCCCACACGTTGCATCGACAGCGCGCAGATATCATACAGTCTGATGAGTCGGCAATTTGGTACAGATGACTGAGGGTATCGATTACAGTTGGTGCGAGTGACCGGGAATGACCAAGCAAAACAAAAAAAAGGATACAAGTACACAATGATTCCGACGGCGGGGGCATCTTCACCCCACCGTCACCCAGCGCTCGTCTCAGGGGACGGCGACCACAATCACCATGACGACGACGGTGGCAAGCGTGTTGAGCGCCATAATACGCAGCGCCTTCATCTGCTGCGCCCTACGCACGCGCGCGTCGAGCACACGCTCGGTTCCCACCGCGAAACCCGTGCCGCGCTGCACGGCAATCCACAGGCGCTCCCGCAGCGAGAGCGACGGCGACTCCTCGTACGTGCGCTTGGCGCCCGCAGACACAGGCGCCAGCGGGCTCGCCACCACCGTGGTGCTCGTGGTCGCCGACAGCCGCGACTTGCGGCTCGAGGGGAGTGCGAACAACACCGGCCGAGCCGACGAAGGCAGATCCAGGCTCTTGCCAGGTGCGATCGCCCACGGAGCAATGTCGCGCGGACTCGTCGCAGACGCGCCAATCACGGGCGTCGAGGCCAGTACGGTCGGCTCCGGCACAGCAGGAATGGCCATCTCGGCATGCTCGGCGCTCTTTTCGCTGTGCGTCTCGTACGTCGGCGAGCCAAGCTGCGCGTCTTCCATCTGCGCCTGCAGGCGGGCGCCGGATCGCAGCGGCAGAAGGGCGTGCGCGAGCGACTTGCGACGCGTGGGCGGCGAGCCGTGCGGCGAACCACCAGCCGCGCCGATCGACTTGGCTCCACGCACGGGCGAGCCTCCCATGGGACCGCCGGCCACAGTCGGCGTCGCCACGCGCGCGGCGAGCTCGGGATCGAAGAGCAGCGCGTCGCGCGTCAGCACCGGTGCATCGGCCTGATCCTCACCGCGTTCATGGCCGGGAGACTTGACAAAGCCAATCGAAAGATTGAGCAGAGGCACACGCTTCTGTCGCATTAGCGTAGGTCCCGAAGGGCTGTCGCCGTTCGCAGCACCGCGGGCGTCGGCCGGGTGCACGTCGCCCAGCGAGTGTCCGGAGCGTTCCAGGCTCGGACGTACCGAGTTGGAAGTGCTCACGTCAAGGGCCGACAGCGTGGTAGAAGGGCGACCCACCAAGTTCGTCTCGGACATCACCGGCATCATGGACGGACGTCGAGGCGTGTTCATGATGACCGCGGCCGGGGCCGCCAACGCCGAAGCCTTGTCCGTGAAGAATGTCATCGGGGCTCCAGAGGGATTCGACGGCTTCTCGGCTGCCAGCGAGTACTCGAACGAAACTTTGCTCGACGCGACGGCATCGGTGGTCTCGGACTTGACGCGAAGGTGACCTTCTTCAAGTGCATCCAGACGAAGCGCGTCCGAGCTCGAACGCTGGTGTTTGCGCTTATCCTTCTTCTGCCCCGTGATGCCGGTGAGGATGTCGGCGATCTCGGGCGCCATCCATCGGTTCGTGTCCTGCTCGACCTCCATGTCCCTCTCGTCGGCGGTGGCCTGGAGCTCGGCGAGGTCAAAGCCCACCACGTCTTCGCCCGAGATGCGCGATCGGATCTCCTCGCGTTCGCGCTCCTCCTCCTCGTCGGGTTCGCGATTGCCGCGAAGCGTGAGCCACACGCAGAGACCCGTAAAGTAGGCCAGGATGTAGCCCAAGCCGGCGCACCAGACGGGAGCGGTGAGCAAACGCCACCATCGCGGAATGTTGCCCGTGCCGTGATTGGCGTGCGGTGCAAGGGGCGATGGCGAGATGATGAGCAGGATCGAGAAGATGAGCGCGATGGCAGTGCATGCTACGCCCACCAACAGACGGCCGCGCTTGGTGTTAGGGCTGAGGTTGCGCGCCACCGAGATGAAGAAGAAGGGGACGACGTGCTGCGACATGTAGGCGTACACGGCCTCTGCGATGGGTGCGAGCACGTCCGGGTGCGTGGAAAAATCGCATTCGGCCAAGCAGAGCTGCAGGTCAGTCTCTGAAACGAGGCCGACATCGACCATCCAGCGCAGCCGCGGCATCTTTTCGGCGCTCGACGAGCCGAGTTGCTTGTAAGGAGATTCGGAGCCGCCCGCGGCCGTGTCGGAGGACGAAGACGAGTCGCGCTTGCGTCGGAACCTGCGATTGCTGGGTAGGATGCACACGCGGCGCGAGCAGAGATAGCGATGCACGAGACGATCAAACTCGACGCGCAACGGCTGTTGCTCGGGCGTCAGACCGAGATCCGTCGGCCGCAATCGCGCAAGCACCTCGCGCGAGGCTTGTTCGGAGATGTCGTCGACATCGTCGTCGGGGGTAAGTGCTTCTTGCGCGAGCATCTGGGCGACGGTGAGATCGGACGAGACGCGAGGCTTGCACTGACGACGCACATAAGCGCGCACGGCCGCTTTGCACGTGGCGGGGTTGGGACTGTTGAGGCGGTTGGCGCGTGGCTGGTCGCGGAACTTGGTCACGTAGCGCTCGTAGGCGACGAGGAAGTCAAGTGCGTCCACTTCGTCAAAGTGAAATCGGCGCGCATTGAGCTTGTGCTTGAACGAGTGGGTCGGTGAAGAGGAGGGCTGGTCGAGATTGAGATCAAAGTCGTCGAGTGCCGAGGACTGCATGTCGGAGGCAGGGTAGTACGAGGGAAGGCGCTTTTGTGGCTGACGCTGGAAGTGAAGGAAGGTGCGCAGATCGAGCAGGCTGATTGGCCGGCAACTGCGGCCGTGGATGATGTCGACAAGGCTGACGCCCAGGCTGCTCTTGGATTCGATCTTGGCGAGGTCGGCGATCTTGTTGGTGGTGGAGGTGGCGCGGGGACGCTGGAGCAGCAGGGCAGGAGTGCGGTCGGATGGGCCGTGGGTGTGGGTGGCTCGTCGACTGTATTCGCAGCACTGGGCGCCGTAGCCACAGCTGGGTCCACCGCAGCTTTGGGGCAGAGAGGGGTTGTTGGCGCTGTCTGGGACGGTGGTGCACTCGACGCAGTCTCCACGCATGAAGTTGGACTTGTTGAGTCCAGCGACGGTGTCCCACTCATCTGGTTGAATCCAGCCAAAGATGTTTTCGTCGCGGTTGTCGGCGTGCACGTCGTGATCCGTCGCCGAGCGCCAAGGGCCAGCAGCCGAGGCGCTCGATAAGAGGGCAGCGCCCTGAGCACGGCTAGGCATGACGGGATCGTTCATGTTGGCCATAAGCGGCGCAAGAGTGGTTCGATCGGGCGTCTAGATGCGAATGGTCATAGATCCAGTCGGTGGCGGATTAGCGTGAGAGCATGATACAGGCGGCGGGCGGATGAGTGTTGGTGGTGGTAGTCTGAACGTAGAGCGAGCGATGTCGATGTGAGTGATTGGAGATGATGATGATGATGTCGGCAAGTCGAGGTGATGGGGCTGGCGAAGCGAGAACGGCGAGATTGACCGACAGCTGGACAAGTGTGTGAGTCAAGAGATGGCTGCTTTGGTAGCTGCCAATGCAAGAGTCACGCGCTGGCAGACCGAAGTGAGTGCAGTCGAGAGTGGGGTGCAGATGGCAAGGAGTGTTGGGAGCTGAAAGCTTCCCGGATGAGGCCAAGGAGATGCGCGACGGTGAGGGCGGTCTGAGACAATTGATTGTCACGGAGAGTGAATGCGTAGGTGAAGGTAAGGAAGGGGGGTCGAGGGCGAGGGCGATGAGGTGGCGTGGATCGAGAAGGGGAGGACAAGGTAGCCAGAGCGGAGTGGCGTTGAGATGAGGACAGCGGAGAGGCGGAGAGGCTGAGAGGCGATGGAGACCAAATGCGTGTCCACCGCGTGGCTCCAGCCGAGCTGTCGAAGCCGGACGGACGGACGGACAATGAGGCGCAGGGGAGAGAGAAATGAAAAATTGGAGCTGGACACTGCCTCGACGCCTATAGCGAGTCAAGCCAAGCCAAGCCGGGTGTTGACGCTGGGTTCACGCTCCGACTCAAGCGTGTGCCGTGTGCTGTACTGCTACTGTAAGCTTCACCTTGCCGCTGCAATGCTGCGATGCAACGACGGGAGAGGCAATCGATTGCCTTGGGAGGTGCGGTACAGAAGAGCGAGGAGGAAAGAGGGCGATGACCACAGTCGCCACACGGCGGAGGCCTTTGTCAAAAGCACGCAACCGTCGCCGTCGGGCGCTCTCAGGCCAGCAAAGAGCGGGCAGCGCGGAGACAGAACGAGGGTCGAGGCCGGAGTCGAAAGATGCAGCGTTCGGGGTTCAAAGGACTCGTCTTTTTTTTTTTCTTCGGACAGGCACAGCTGCAGAGGCAAGAACGGTGGGCCTGGCTGCATGGCCGCATGGCGAGCTGCATCGACGCAAGCGGAAAAGCCGCCGCTGCTCTCGTGCCCTTGCCACTCCCACCTGAACATCCCTACAGACGGAACGATATAAAACATAAGAAAGCTTCAAAACGAGAAGAGCCTCAACAAGAGCCCTTTGGACAGGGAGACGCTTCTGCGGGTTGAGTATGGCTACAGTTGCGTGCGGTGGGTGTAGCTCGGCGATGCATCTGCCAGGAAGCCAGGCAAGGCAAGGAGGAGATCGCATGAAACACGGACCGCCCTGCTTGCCAGGTACGCTGCAAGTGCATTCGCGCGTTTGCGGGCCCGCGCTCGAATTGGGTCGTTGTGACCTTTGTTTCACACCTAACCGCGTGGCTCTCAGGCGAGATCTCAGGGCAGCTGGCCGCGTTCCTTTTTTTTCATTCGCGCGTGGCTGGCAGAGCAGCTGGGATTCGAATTTGTTGTTTTCGATTTCCCGCTCCCTGCTCTGCCGCCCCCTCCAGATCAACAGGGGTTGGCAGTACTGCGCCAGATCTCGACGCACAGCCAAGTTTCCGCAGTTGATTTTATTTTAACAAGCTTCCAGCCTGGTGGTCTGGCGCGTGGGAAAAAAACTCCCGGAATCGCTCGACCGCAGCCAACCAGCCAGGCAGCCTTAGCTAAACTGGCCAAACCAGTCACACACTGGCAGCCGTCTTCTGCTTTGGAGCGTAAATTAGCTCGCAAGGCCTCGCTACCATCGCCAGCTCGACCTTCGCGGCTCCGTACATCGTCTTCGCATTGGAGCCGATCGACGCGCAATGGCGCCGACCCGGGAAGCATCCTTCTCCGACGTCGGCGTACGTGACAGCCTCGGGTCACGCAACAGCCATGCTCATACGATTCGTTGGACCATGTTGCCATCGCATTTCGCACCACGCTCGGGCAAAGGGTCCGCCGACTCACAGTGTCGAAGCTCGCTGCATTTGTGTCTCGCGTCGCCCCCTTTAGGCACACTTTGCAGCGGGTAAGGCGGACCCCATCGGGCACCTGAGCAGTCGACGCTCTCTGCACACGGGCATACTCGTGTTTCTCCGTCCACCGCCTTGCCCCACGCGGACAACCGTGTCCAGGTCCCATCGCTTTCGCATTGTTCCAACCACTTGGGAGGCCGGAACGTCGGTGTGCTGGAGCCGATCCCGTAGCGAGATGGTCGAGAACAAGACGGTCGCCGCAACCTTGAGCCAGGCCTAGCGCGCTGCAACGCTCGGCCAGCACAAAACATGGCCTGATCCTGCCGCAACCGAGCTGGCAATCCGGCTTCTGCCCCTTCACCGCTGCATTGTTCCGACGATGGCCCTGTCGCCGTCCACTCCGCTCGGCGTCTGGCACGGCCTCTGCTGCGCTGGTTGGGTCGGGGTTGAGCTGGCCTGCTGTGCTCCCCGCACCGTCTCGTCGGTCTTTGGTTCGGCGGGTTGCTGCTTCGACGCGACTTCAAACTTCGATTTCCCGATCGATCCGATTTCGACCGTCGCTGCTGCCCGAGCTTGAGTCTGTGGTGCCTGCGTGGACTCGCAACTCCTCGAGCCTCGATGCCCGCATCAGCAATCTCGCTGCAGTTTCAGTCGAGCGTTGACGATTCACTGCGACCGTTGCAGATGAATGCTATGTGGCTGGTGTGCGCTTGATCGACGCTCGCCAGAGGTTCTTTGCTCGGCCCGAGGTTGAACGCGCGTGCAAAGCCCACTAGCCGGGTGCAGCTGAATGCTGCGACGCGATGCAAGCAGGGTCTCGTTCGGCCGCCGGCGCGCACATTCCTCCACACCGGCACGCTTGCCGATCCTCCTGCATTTCGGGTGACGCACAGCCCTCTCACTCTTCACGACCTGCATTCACCTCGCCGTCGTTCGCTCCTGCTTTCATACCACCATCTTTAAAAGCCATCCCGCATTCATTGAGTACGATGGGCGAGGCTAACGGAACCACAGGTGGCTTTGCGCCGTTCGCAGCCGTAGAGATCCCCTTCTCCTCGATTCCGGCCTCAGACACGCCCGAGTATGCCGAGTTTCTCGCGCACTACCTCACCGCGGCGTTCAAGTTCGTTCGCGACACGCCTGGATGGAAGAAGACCAAGTCCTTCAGCTCGGCCGCTGGAGGTAACGTGCAGTGCAAGGTGTTGCCCAGCCAGGTATCCCAGATCGCCAAGAAGGGCTGGCACCTGCGCGAGTCCCAGCACGGCGCAGATTGCGGCTTGACGTTCGATGACTGGCGCAAGTACATCCGCTTCGAGCACACGTTGTTCGAAAAGCAGTACATCGAAGACATCACGCTCACCGACTGCGTCGCAAAGGTCAAACCGGACGAGGCCGAGATCTGGCACAATGCTTGTAAGTCGTGCCAAGGCCAGCATCCAGCTTCCCCGAGATTTTGCTTCTGACACTGCTGTCCCTACCAACCACAGACAAATTACCGATCGTCACGGCGGATAGAGACTTTGTCGAGATGTTGTTGACCATCGACCTGCCGGCGCACGCGGAGCCCTTCTCGGCGGAGCATGAAGCAGCTACACTTGCATGGATCCGCGATCCGCAGCGCGAGCTCACACCCTCTGCCGCTACCACCGAGCCGGCCTATCGCTCATTTGTTGTGCTCCAGTTCCCCGTCGATCACCCCGATGTGCCAGCAGACCCGCACAAGGTCCGAGCGGTATACTCGTCGTTCGAAGCCGTGTCGGAAGCCCCGGCTCAAAGCGGCGACGGCAAGGTGGTCGACTGGAAGATGGCGGTGCAGTCCGACACGCGCGGCCGCATCCCGACCATGATGCAAGAAATGGCTATGCCGGGCGAGATTGCCCACGACGTACCCGCATTCATCGAGTGGGCGGTCAGGTACAAGCAGCAGAACGCGCCCCAAGCGCATTAGACGATCCAGCTGCCAGCGCCACTCGATCCTACACACACCTCGCCTCTTACAGCCTACTAGAACGAGTAATCGATACAATTACAACATGAAATGATCGAAGTGGTGACAGCCTAGCTATTCCCTCTCGCCGAGACGGAGCTCGTCCATGCCTTCGAGCTGAACATGCGGGCTCGGGGGTGTGGAAGGCCTGCTATTGGCGCGACTGGGATTGCTGCTAGCCGATCGTTTTTGAAACAGCCGGAGAGCCGGGTTGGCCGACAGCGATCGATGCCTTCTCTCTTGCGCCACATGGGAAGGTACAGAGGTGTACTCGTTGCGCGCCTTGTTCCGGCGCATGCGCAGGTCGTTCAGCCTGTCCCACTCGCGCTGGTAGTCGGCCTCGTCCAGATGCAGGTCGTGCAGCACCTCGCGCGCCTGCATTTCAAACTCGATCTCGTCGTCCGCCTCAATGAGTCCAAATCGCACACCTTCGCCCAGCGAGGCTGCATCATCTGCAGCAACATTGGCCGAGTTGGATCGCGAGGGTGGCGTCCGTGTGGAGCGGCCCCTCTCTGCCGTCTCCGAGGCAGACGCTGCCGAGCCCGAGGGCTCGTCGATGCTTCCTCTGCGCGAAACGATGCGCGAGAGTGCAGGAGACGACGACGAGCTGCGTGCGCCAAAGCCATTGCGCAACAGACGCTGCTGCAGACGGTGGCTGAGCATGTCGCGCCACAGCTCCGACGACGCCTGGATCTCGCTCTCGCTTGCCGCCTGCTGTTCCATCTCGAGCAGATGCGAAAGCTCCTCGCCACACACGCACTGGTCCATCGACTCGTGCTCGTTGCGCCCAGCCCAAAAGTCCCGCGATACCTTGGGAACCGGGTTGGCGTCCTCGGGCGTGTACGACGGCAGACGCATCGACTGCCACCGACACGCGCACGACGGCAGAATGAGCCCCCACGAGCTGCGGTAGGTGCGCACGTCAGAGTTGCCCAACGCCGGGTCCGAGTACTGGATCGTCAGCTCGAGTGCGTGTGCCATCCCGATCGCACAGTCGCTGCCCGGCAGCGTCGACGCGCGAGCCTCCGAATCATTAGGGATGCGCGCCACCCAGTTGCACTGCCCGACGTTGAGCGCCGAGTACGCCGAAGGATGCGAGCTGCCGCCGGCTTCCTGGCGCTGCTGCTGCTGCTGCTGCTGCTCCTGCGCAAGGGCCAATAGACCGTCGAGCCGACCGTCGTGGTTCGACTGCTGCAGACACTGCTTGAGCTCTTCGGCACCAGCCTCGAAGAAGACAAAGCGCTCCGAGGGTGGGAACTCCATGTAGTTGCGGCGCACGCGCGACTTGAGCGTCGTCTGTTGCAGAAGTGCGAGCTTGAGCGAGTGGAGCTGCAGCGTCGGGCTGGGACTGTCGAGGGAGAACGTGATGCGCAGGTAGCCTCCGACAGTAAGGTGCTGCGTGCGCACTCCAAGAAAGACGGGCCCGAGCCCCTCTTCTGCGCCGCGGTGAACGTGGTAGTAGGGCAGGAAGCCGGTGGCGGCTACGGTCTGAATGAAGAACATATTCTTCTCAGCGACGAGGGTCTTCTTGCCCAGGAGGCCCGGAAAGGTAGCTTTGACCTGCACCTTCTGGTGGTGCCTTCCGTACTTGCATCTCTGATACGGCGCAGTGCTGTGATCGACGCTGAAAGAAACTTCGAACTGATAGATAGAGCCGGACTCAAGCTTGAGGTCGGTGGCCGATTCGATCGTCTTCTTGTTGTAGTAAGGCTGGTTCTGCTCAAAGCCGCCTTTCGGAAAGCCTATCGACTCGTAGCCGACGAGACTTGCGGTGAGGTTGAGCAGCTTTGATGGTGGATTGTGCCCGGCTGGAATGCTGAGCTGGATGATGACCTGGACGGTCACAGGCTCGGCGTCCTCGGGCGTCTCATTTTCGGAGCGCACCTGTGGGCTGAGGTAGACGTCGTTGACTGTGGTGCTGAGGATCTTGAGGTCCATCCTGAGCTTGCCGAGTCACAGCAACGTCTGCTGAGATGGACCGTCAGTCGGCGCAGAGAAGAAGTCTTGCGCCGAGGCACAAAGCTTGATGCGAGGCACAAAGCTTGATGGGCCAAAGCGAGGCAGCGCGGCGCGTCCGCCAGATCTTTGCGGCTTGATCGCGAGCCCAGATGTGCTGCTCTGCTCCTCAAAAGCGCAGGTCGAGTAATCGTTCGAAAGTGCGCTGAGGATGATGGTGGATGCGGAAGGAGGCCTGGAAGGAAGCCTGTGGGCGCTGCAAAAAGTGGCCAAAGCCAACCCGCCGTCTCCGCAAAATTGAATTCGGCATTTTTTCCGAAGCGCCGGCCTGAGGGTCCGTAAATTTCGCCGAAGCCATCGCAGAGGCCCTGTCCCCGATCCCGATGATCGGGTAGCCCCACCCTCTAAGACCCACACGACCCGGCTGACCGCCAAATCCAAGCTTCTCTTAAGCGTCCTCGCAGCTCGCCACGAGCCTCCGCTCCTTGTAAGCATCGCACGACAGCCTTGCGCACTCTCAACACGAAGCTCGACAAGACAAATTGAGCATCTCTCCGGGCTTCTGCGGTGAACCTGGCCTCAGATATAATACTGCCTGTATCGCCAAATTTAGGCACCTTAAAGTCGCAGACGAGCTGCTTCAACTGCTAATGTTCGGCACTCCTGGTCACGATCGCTGCTCGTTGCCAAGAGCATGCTAGCGTGCGGCGAGGTCTGCGCCGAACAAAAGTCACGAGTCGCGGACGATGAGCCGCAAGCTTTTGACACCATTGGCCGAGCGGATATGCACCAAGGCGCAGCGTGCGGGGTAACATGCTACCGCTCCGTCGGCTCCCACCACGTTGGTACTGCAGCCTGCTCCTGGTTTGAAGCATTGATGAGAAGGCGGCATGAATGCGCTTGACGCCGAGGAAGTGTCATTGGTTCTTTTGTTTGCTGGAGAGGGCGCAAGGAACGTTGGAAACGCCCGCTGCGTGAAAGCTGGTGGGTCGGATGAATTTCAAAGCCTCGCCTCGGATGGCCGTATCGCCACGTCGCCATCTGCTGTGGGTGCTTTTTCGAGGGTGCAGTCGAGATTCCCATACCCATCTCGGGTGCAGGCGCAGATTGACAGCCGAGCCCACCCGCTTAGCACAAGCCGAGCTGCGGTCTGCTCTTGGCAGCATCGGGCGTACTTTTTTGCCCCGCTGCTCCGAGAATGGCTCCCCCATCTGCTAGCATCCGCTCGCAGCATGTCTAAGGGAATGACGGTCGCTTCACGAAGTTCCAAGCTCGGGCGTCTTCTTACCGCTTGCATGACGCCGATGCAGTGCGGGGATAGGGTGTTGACAGGCGCTTGTGCCAGCGCTGACACGCTCGACCCCACCTCTGCCAGTGCATCTGCGTGCTTCGATCATGTTTGCGCCCGCGTCGATAGGCGAACATCGAACCACGGCTATCTAGACGAACTCGGCCTCGCTTCAAGTGCACTGCCTGAAGCGTGGACGTGAAGGGATCTCGTTCGAGGTGACTTTGTAACAAGCGGTGAAACATCATGAGGCGGGAATACGGCACTTTGACCTTTTTCGCCAACGAAGCAGGGCAACAATGAGGTATTCATCAGCTCACGGCCGGCGTGAGCATCCACTTCGATGGACTGAGTCGTAGGGTATAAGAAGAGAAATGGTCGACACAGCCTTCCGTAGTCCACCATAACCACCCCGCTAAGCGTCCATCTCCCTCACTAACTGCTGCATTACTCCGCTTCCCTCTCCGAGCCTCAATCTTTATCTGCCCTCAAAATGCTGCCCACTTCCATGAAGGCGCTCGTCGTGCTGGTCGCCGCCGCTTCTTCTGTTGCTGGCTCTCCTGTCCCGACCAAGCGCGCCCCTACCTGGGCTGACCGCAACACGGCGACCATCCACCCTGGTGTCAACACCAACACGGCTGGCAGCTGCACGTCGAACTTCATATTCTACCAAGGCAGCGACATCTACATTGGCCAGGCGGCTCACTGTGCCAGCACAGGCGAGTCGACCGACACTGACGGCTGCACGGCGGGCTCGCTGCCCGAGGGCACGCAGGTTCAGATCACGGGTGCTTCCAAGCCAGGCACCCTCGCCTACTCGTCGTGGCAGCGCATGCAGCAGCGTGGCGAGACCGACGCGAACACGTGTGCGTTCAACGACCTGGCGCTCGTCCTCATCGACCCTGCGGACCACGACAAGGTCAACCCGACCGTGCCCACCTTTGGCGGCCCCAATGGCCTGAGGTCGAGCGGTCTGGCCAGCCTGGAGCAGGTGTACAGCTACGGCAACTCAATCCTCCGCGGCGGCGTGACCCTGCTCAGCCCCAAGTACGGCGTCAACATCCAGGACCAGGGCGATGGCTGGTCGCACAACGTCGGCACTGTCTCGCCCGGTATTCCCGGTGACAGCGGCAGTGGATTCATGGACAAGTCCGGCAACGCATTCGGCGTGCTCAGCACGCTCCAGTTTGCTCCTCTGCCCGCCTCCAACGGCGTCGGTGACCTCGCCAAGGAGCTCGCCTACGCAAAGACGTTTGACGACTTTGCAGGCATCCAGCTGGCCACGGGCACTACGCCCTTCGCTGTTGCCCTGCCCGACCTCTCCACTGGCCTCGTCTCCACTGCCAAGGCACTGGGTCTCGGTGCCTAAGCGCATCGTCTAGATCCCATACAGTAGTCGCAATGCAACATTCTTGTAATTTCTTCTCATATCCCGCGGAGAGATAGTGGAATTAATTACGATGCGGGAGTCGGGGAGCTCAGCGAAATTTAGAGCTCAGTTGACAGGGCTGGCTGAGTCGAGTACCGCGGCGCGTAAAGCTGTCTTTCTTCCAATGCACGAATCCTCGCTCCTGTCTACCACACATCCGCACATCGCCATGTCGAAACCGACGCTCACTTTCGTTACCGGCAACGCAAACAAGCTGCGGGAGGTGCAGCAGATCTTTGCGCTCTCGCCCAACTTTCCTTACGAGCTCACAAATCGCGACCTCGACCT